TCGACAGAATTAAAATTTATTTTTTCATTATTTAAAACTACTGACATTTAAAAAGAGAGCATTGCTCATAAAGTTAAAGGTTTAACTTTCTAATAGTTATTAACGATACTATCCGACATACCTCTCTACCCATAATATAATACGGAATATGAAGAAAAGTGTAATCGCGTAACGAAGAATATATAATGATGAAACAATAAGCGCGCGTTGTAATATTGTGAACGCGAGATTTGAATACGCGGCGGTCAAGAGGTTACGGGGGTATAATAATCAGTAGGAAATTTAAGCTACGGGGGGGGGGGAGGGGGGAGAGAGGAGGGGCAACCAACACCTAGTGTTTGCCTCTCCTCCCTGCGTTTCGCCGCAGCCTCTCGCGCGACGACCCGTTGCCTTTCTCTCTTTACCTGAATCTCGAGTCAGGGGTCTCTTGGCAATTAGGAGGGAACTCACGAGAGTTAATGCACCGCGTCCCGATGGTCACCGATGATCCGTCGCTCGTGGCCGCATCTGGTGGTCCACCAGCATGATTTTACCAACAGGCCCGGCGACCGGGAATCGTACCTGCATCCTTGAAAAAAAGAGACAACAGGGGTTCTCAGGTGAAACCACTTTGGTGGTGCCTCGGTGTCTTCTAAATCGCGTCGCCGCCACCGCCGCCGCCTTTCCTCTTTTCACTGAGAAAAGCGCCGTGGAAAGCTCTCGCGGGAAAAAAGCGTTCGACGAACGAATCGCGGCGCGTCTCGAGAACATTGAACAGCGTAGGTTGATTTTTATGCAAAATTATTGCGTAATTCGCGGAAAAAAAGAGCATCGAGAATCGACGCGCCGAAGAAAAAGGTTACAATGCAGCGACCGTGTGGCTCTACATATACACATGTATATATAGAGAGAAAGAGAGAGAGAGAGAGAGAGAGAGAGAGAGAGAAAGAGAGAAAGAGAAGCGAGATAAAGTGCTAATAAAGTGGCGGCGCTGGACTAATGAACGAGTAATAAACACATCGATCGCTAATCAACTACTCAAATATGGCGCGTATATTTAACAATAACGCGAAAACAATAGCACCAATGCAAGCGATATATTGTTTCTCTATACCATTTCGCTTGCACTACCAGACACATATAGTGTGCGCGTTTCGCCAATACTAAGTTACCAAGAAAGACTCGCAGGTCAAAGTAAAACAGTTTTTCAGCTACAAAGCGATATTACTACAACAGCGACCGACCATGGTGACTTGTCGTTATCCCTATCGCTTACAGTCACACAAATGTACTCTTGCTACTTTTCGTTAGTCTCTCTCGGATAAAGCTAACAAATCGTACTAAACACTTACGACCGCAGCACGCATTGCAAACTAATCAGCGTTCTACAAGAAGGAATATTCGTCAAAATTACTATATGTACTAATGACCCTATTTCGCGAATCCACTTCCTCTGTTTTTGGCAATCGTTCAACTTAACATATACATTGATTTGTGTGTATGCATATATATGTGTGTATGTATGTGTGTGTGTGTGTGTGTGTGTGTGTGTTAGTGTGTGTGCACGCTAAAAATTACACTTTTTGTGCAGAAAATTTTATCTAGTCTAAGTTCTCTACTCCATTAAAAAAATCTATAATAAAGATAAAGGGAGGTGCCTAAAACAATCTATTATATATTAAAATCCTCAAAATTCAGGAAAGGGAGGCAAAGAGGCATGTTTGTGTTAACTTGTATACTAAAAAGATTAGATTTAGTTCATGTTATTAAATCACGAATTAATTCCAACACCTAATATATATATATATATAAAACGTAATACAAGAATAACAAAATCAATAACCGTAATAGAATTACGTAGCTTAAAGCAGATCACAATCGAGGAAATCGAGTCGAAAATCGCGATCCATCGTCTGACAGGGTATAAACGAGACTTCGGCGTTTCCCGGAGGTGGAAAATCGGGGTCATCCGGAGGATTTTCCCAGACCCGCTGGTGCAAGGTTGGAGGAGGCGAATAATGCACGTGGAGTGGCGAACCCACGCGCGCTGCCTACGCGGCCAGTTATTCCCGGTGATGGTGAAGGAGGTACGGAAGGGGTTCGACCGCATCACCGCCGGGCGACCGGTTGGGTCGATACTCCTCCAGGATCGAGGAAATTCCAACCCGTGACTTGGCTAATCCTGCTCCGGCAACCGAAGGAACACCTCCGACCTCCCGACAGTGTCGATCAAACGCTAAGAGGTCGCCGAATTAACTAATACGAAACATATCATCTCGAGATTACCCTCTTCATTCTCCCAACCGATCTTGCTAGATTGAGCGATCATTTCAAATGGAATTATTTATGTATCGTAATGATTGAATATTCTCGTGACGAATTGATTTCGTGAACTGGAAGAGATCCATTCATTAATTAAACATCCCAATTTTATCAATTAATATCAATTAAACTGTTTCAAAATAAATAATAGAGAATATTATGGTATTTACAGTGTATGATTAAAAAGAGAAAATGAAAAGAAATTTCGCGACAATAGAAACGGCATAACGTAATTAAGACGTAATTACACTGTAAAATTGAATGAAAGCATGATGGGATAAGTTTTTGAATAAATGCCTGCACATTAAACCTTTTATTGAACGTTAAATCGCCTCATCGGCAAATTTCCAAGCACATCGATAAAATTCCATGCACGCCCGATGATGTTGGCTATTTTCTTGTGCTGCAGCTCCTGCTTAACTGATCTCATAAACTTATAAACGACTTATAAGCGTGCCCCGCTGATATTGTTTTATATAAAGAAAAAATTTCATTATCTCTAATATTGAAATCGAGGATGACTTGAGCATAATAAGATTTTAAATCCAGTATTAATCCATCGCATCGCAGATTACGAGAAGCATCTTTTCGCAAGCATTTAATAACTTCTCAAATGTGATATATCGTATGTCGATAAAAGTCGAGTATTCCATTGTGAAATTTTGGAACAATTTTTTTGCACGGGATACATCACGTATCCCGATTTGAACGATTAAAATTTATTACATTTGTACATATATCATTTAATTCAAAAGCTCGTTACCGTTAATTTGCGAACCATTCGATAAAATATTAAATTTAACAAAATGAACGAATATATAATTAAATGGCACGGGGGTAATTCAAAATTCATGAGCAGGTACTCATAACAAAATTCATCATGACACGATATCAATGACCCATCAGTGGCCTGGCAAATTGAATGCCATTGACATTTTCAATTGCAATGATGAAACATTACAAATTGCATTGTGCTCGCATGACTGCCATTCTTACGTTTCTTACGTTCCTTTCAGCTTCCAAGAATAGTCGACGCGGTAAAATAAGTATGTAAATTAAGTAAAAAAAAAAGAAAAAAAGAGGATTCTGAAGTGGGGATTCGACGTACATAAGGTCGGCAGCGGATTGAGAACCACCTGCGGATCTGTCTGATTCCGTACCACCCTGCGGCCCAACCACCGACAGCACCCTCTCGCAACCGCTTTCTCCTCCTCCCCGCCACCTCTACTCGTCCTTCCACGGTAACAAAACGTTTCCATTCCCCGTTGGCGGCATGCCTCCTTCCAAGAAGGAGGCAAATACACGTAAACGCACACAAACACATGCACGCGCGCGCGCGCGCGCGTATGCACGCACACGTATAAATACACGTATAATACACAGCCGCGAACGAACAGCCATGCAAAAGGGAACGGCGACTGTATTGCAGATCTGTAATACTCCTACCCCTTCTGAGAGAATAGCGGGCGAACTCGGTTGCTACCTCTACACCTCCCTCATTCGAACCCGCCACCACCGCTGCCGTCGTCGTCGACACCGCCTTTCCACCCTCATCCACCCTGACGAAGCCGACTTCCTGGTCAATAACCTCGACGGCGTGTACGCGACATAATCGCCAAATGTTCGCGATCGGGATAAATGTATCGTTCGGGAATAGCCCTCATCACGCACGTGACGTTGAACCCTTTCTGCCGTCGGAAATGCGATAATGTTCGTTCACACCTTCATCGTCTTGCATAATGAAAGAAAGCTGCGTAATATTTTATTAACAGTTCTTTCTCGACAGCTGCGATCCTGTGTAGATACGACGGGAATCTGTGCCTTAATATACAATTGTCAATTCTAATAAATGCGACAATCATTCTTACCGGTTCGTGAAACAGAAATCGAAGCAGAAAACCGTAATCAAGATGACTACGCGGTTGGTTCTTTCCTCCAAACTTCGTAATATCGTGCTACGCGAGGAGATAATAAAAACGCCTTCCCGCAAAGTGAGCTTTCAGAAGTTTACGTTGTACTAGAAAGTTCCGTTATTTATGTCTGTCTCTTATTAATTATTATGGCATATAAATACCAAGTTAATACGAACTTGCTGCGAGCTAACTACTAGGAAAGGCTTTATACAAGATAAATACTCCTTAATTTCTTTTTTTTTTTTCGGGGCACGTTATTTTTATTTTCTAATGTGAAATAATTTGGGATTATTATTTTCCCCTCTCTCAACTATGATTTGACGTTCCTCCGTAATTATGGATGCAAATAAACCGTGCATCCATATTAAATATTTATACAGTGTACAAATATAAAATAAAAATAAAATATAAAAATATGTAACATACAATAACTAAATTTAATCAGAATTACGATAAAACGTGTCGAGGAAAATGTTGCTATCCATTGCTAATTGCGCACAACTGATCCAGGAATATTTATTCGCGATATTTACACGAAGCGCAGTATTCCGAGTCAACGGCGCACAATAAATTGGAAGGTTTCTATGAACTCGACGACTGCAAAGTGATGCCATCTGTGGCACTTGGCGCGAAACTCGTCTTAAAAATCATCCCCCAAGAGATCAATACGCCGTAGGGGTAGACAACGGTCTGCAAAATACAACGTAGCGGCACCGGGAATCCGGCACGATTTAATCTTTTCGGCAATCGGAGACGCGCGCAATGGTAAGAAAATATCGTTTGCCTCAGTTATTTATTAAATTAAACATCCCTCTCGGACAAAATCTCGCTTCGCTAACTTTTCGCGTGGAATATCCTTGAATTATTGCCGCGTCGTAAATGTTCGTGTTTCCCGAAGCTCGATACTTTATTGCTTCTCTCGAGATTAAAAAGTTGCAAGCAGTTGCAATAGAGCACTTTCGGCACGTTGTGACGTCAGGCGTCATGTTTTAGTACGTCGCATGTGCATTATAAAGCGACACAACTTATCGACGAATGGGATATATATATATATATATATATATATATACACATATACGGCGACCAGTGGAGTTAGGACACGAGAATATACCGTAAATCTCGTGCCTTGGCTTCGCCGGATATTAGATATTTAGTACAAAGTCTATCGGAATCTGATCAATCGATTCAGGGCACACGTATAACAAACATTTTCCAAAGTGTCGAAGCTTATAGGGCGAGCAAACAGTAAACCACCATCATTTGCATGTTATACTCTGTATGTATAATATATGTGTGTGCATGCGAGTGTGTGTGTGTGTGCGATTACAGTATAGTTCCGCATAACTTTAGTCAAATATGAAAGAAGATTCTATTGTTCGCATATAGTCGATCGAATTATGGAATATTGTTTTCGACTATTCTCGTAAATATTAATTAACGTTAATCATAATTCAACAGATTTGCCGTTTCTACCTGAAAATAGAACTAGGACGGGATAGAGGATTGATTAAATCTCAATTAACTTTAACGAAAATTTATGGGAACCGGCCGCGTCGAATAAATGAGGTCGTACGATTTTCAAGCGTTATTCGCAAGCTTTTGAGAGCTTTAATTACGAAAACAGATTAAGTGTCAAGAAAAAAATTACGCAATCAACGATTAATAGTCATTTTGATGGAAATAACATTTCTTTGCGGATGTTGCTGTTAAGAAAATAAACTCTTTTGGTTATATTCCTAATCAGAATATTTCTTAATTAAAACGAAACGAATTGAATTGTCAAAAAAGGAGATACTTCTAGATACAATTGAGTTACTCGATCTACGGCAGAAACCATAAAAAAATCCGACAGCGATTGAACTAGCCAGTCGGTGAAGACCCGTGGTGTATTCGGGTCAGGCATTTGGCTTACGGGAAGCTTTTTCAAAGGTTTCCACGCGAGTGTCTCCTTTGTGGCTTCTAATGACATAATTCGATTTCCATCGTGCCGCATTAAATCCATATTCGGCGATGTTGCGCACGAGCGCGCCTTTCGTGCTGCTCATTCTCTCTCTCTCTCTCTCTCTCTCTCTTAATTTATGTCAATTAAGAAAAGAACTGAATACAATGTTTGTATTTTGATACATAAAATGGAGATTGTCCGGATTATTTAAAAAATGAGATGGAGCAAGTAAGCAGAGAGGAAAAAGTACAAACAAGATCAGAGGGAAATATGTATTAAAAGATGTAAAACTAAAGAGGAACAGAGAATGTTGTTATACGATGGATTTAAAATGTACAACAATTTACCGAATAAAATAAGAAAAGAAAAAAGATTAAAAAACTTTAAAAGAGTGTTAGTGCCATATATGAGGAGTGGAGAGGGATAGTGCAATGTAGATGTATGGGATGTTTAAGTCTGGCGGTTTAGATAATTAATAAATAGGCATTATATTGGATTGCATCACATATTGTAGCTATTGAAGCAAATAAAGATATCTCTCTCTCTCTCTCTCTCTCTCCTTCTCCCTCTCTCTTTCTCTTGCTCTTTCAAATATCCTTGTGGAAATCGCCTCCCAAAGACGTGGCCTTTCACCAAGCGGACACGTTCAGGCAAATCTCCTTGCTGCCAATCTTGTTATCGCTGCCGATCCACTGATTGTGCTTCCGATAAGTTTCGTAAACGACTGTCGTCACGCTTTCACCCACGGCGAAAATTCAACTCTCGGCAAAAGTAGGGTGTGCACATCTCGTCCCGATCGTTTCGTTCCTCTTGATTTGTTACCGCCGTCTGTCATCGTCGGCGGGCGGAGTGAACTTCGCGGAATTAATTAGCGCGACGGAATTAAGATACGCGCGAAAAGTGCCGATCTCTCGTCTTCCTGATACGCGTCTGGCTCTCTTCGACTGTCATTATTTCAACAATAAAGACGAACTTTTTCGCGGGGACTCGAGAGGCTACAACGAATCTCATTTATAGCGGGGAAAGGGTGTGAAATCGACGGCCATTGCTCCGACTCCGAGATAGCTTTTGTACTTTTTGTTCAGCCCGGGCCTTTCATCACGCCATCCCTTCACGTGCACAAAAGGACTCGGTAAATACGAAAAATGCCACGTAGGCATCACGTCCTCATCGCTTGCCTTCGAATCCGAAAAATCTCTTATCGATGACGACGTTTCGTCGCTTCAAGGAACCCGCGTTGATGCGACCGCGAGATAAACAAGACCCTTCAATAATAATGCACCTTTATTTAATGTAAAAATATAAAATAAAATAAAAGAAGATATGTTGTTTCCTTTACGAATGATCTCTAATCTCTGTGCAACGTTATTTGGCGATCCAGCGATTTGAGGCAAGAGATACTAAGTCAAAACTGCTAAATAATTAAACGATGTCGCCAAGGTCACAATAGTCCTTGTAACTGTTGTCATTGGCATACGAAACGTGACTCGGTTTAATATTGACAACCGTGGCTACGAGAAACTCCATAGCCCGGAGGGTAGATGGGCTGCAAAAGAGGATAGGAGTACACTAGGTAAGCGGCTTATTGTGAGCGACGTCGCCAGGATTTTCGGTAACGACACTGTATGACTGTCGCGTCGACTTTTGGACGATAATGCGCCATCGTCCTTGTTGCTCTTTCCCGTCTTTCATTAAAAAATCCACGTCATGTTAAACGTAAGACACGCTTGCGAAAATTCGACATATTTCAAGAAGAGAGAATGTCCAATAAAACGGATAGGTAGACAGGCATCGATCAATATTCAAAGAATTATTAAATAATAATGACTTGACAAAGTTATTATTTTCAATTAATTCAATTAGTTCAGTTAAATTATTCAGTTTTTTATTCGTCCGTTACTGTTATGATACTTTGCTATTGTTATACTATAAGATTGTGAATTATTAAATATCATATAATCGTTACTGGAAAATAACGCGCGCATTCATCGTATAAAATACAAAATAAAATTAGTAATTATTTAGTACAAGAGACCACCCTCCACTGACCTTGACCTTGAACAAATTTTAACCGTCGCTCGTTGTTCGTTAAAAAGTTATTAACAAAAAAAGTTCTTCAATAAAACCTAACTTTTGGACATGACTGCGCTCCGGTGAGACAAATTCCCTGCTCTAACAGCGCAAAATATTTTCTTATATAATTTTTGTGTCTTTAGAGCCAGAAAATTATATTTTTAAAGAGAATTTGTTCTTTTATGAAGTTATATATTTGTAACAATATTTCGATCGTTATAGGAATTTGGGCGACAACGACGTAATCATGTTTACAGTTACAGCGTTTATTTTCGCGAAATGTTAGATTTAAACTTCTGTGCATATAAAAAGAATGGAAAAGGTGTACATTATACATAAAATATTTCCTGTTTTACAAACACAAATTTTTTGCTTTAAAATCACATTTTTTTTTCTTTAAAACACAAATTCTATGCTTTTGTTAATAACTTTTTAACAAACAACGAGCAATGGCTAAAATTTGTTTAAGTTGTTGAAGGATGGCCTCTCTCTCTCTCTCTCTCTCTCTCTCTCTCTCTCTCTCTCTCTCTTTCTCTTTCTCTCTCTCATACTAAATAATTACCATAAAATTAAATCTATATATTCATCGTCAGAATATTTACATGTTGATAATTATTATGCTATTAAGATTGTATAAAAATTAATTCTTTACAATTTATGTTTCTAAAAATAGCTCTTTTGTATTTATTTTAACTGATATTTAAATATGGTATAATCGTTAACAGGAAAATAACATGTGCATTCATACACCTACTATACACTCGTTATATAAAATAATAAAATTAAATCTGTACATTCATTGTTAGAACACACTTGTTCACATATTAATTCACATGATAATTCACGATTTTAACCTTTCGGTAATGTTGGATTTTAAATATACAGCCGATGTTTTATTGTAAATTTTGACATGTAAATTTAATCTATAAAGAATGATAGATTAAATATAAAAAAAAATATAAGTAAAATATCAGTAAACTACAATCCAATATTTAATAAAAACTCACTGTAAAAACTTTCACAAGTAACATATAAGAATTTTTTTCAGATTTTTATATATATAGTCTGGAACAATATAAAAATTTACACCAAAGTTTGAAAATCAGATTGTGAACAAAGAGTGAAATTCTCATTGCCGATTTAAGATTATGTGAAAATAAGTTCTTTATAATATTTACGTTTTTAAAAATATTTCTCTTGTATCTGTTTCAGATAATTAAGTTCAAGAAATGGAAGCCGGCCATTCATCTCGACAATCGCTACAGATTGATGAGACAGGAACCGATGTTAGATGCTGATGGCAACGTGACCAATGAACTTGGAGAAGATTGTGAAGATTGAGAAGAGGAAAAAAAATTGCGTAATTTTAATAACCTCAAATTTAAATACAATTATTGCAATGCATTGTAACGGCGTCAACGGCATTTTATGACAGGAGGAAGAATTTCTTAAGTCAATAAAAAGAGATTTAATCTAATAAAAATGTCATTCTCGTTGCTCGCATATCGAATATTATTTGCAAAAGACGTTAATCGAACGCAGTATCACGTGAGTCGTCTCTTTGACTACCGTTGAGTTTGTTTATGGATCGATCCATTCTACCCTTCACCACCTCGTTCCCTCCTTGGCGAAAGATATGATGGCAAAAATACTGCATACCATTTCCAGGGCACCGTTACGAATTTTAGCAGCCGTTTGCGTTTAATCGGATAAAGTATGTTTGGAGGATAACTCTGCGCAAATACCGCTCCCCTGCATGTACGAGGATGACATGACATTTATATTAGTATTTAATCTGACATATTTACATGCATAACATGATTTTTGTCTCATATCCGCGCACGCGCATATTCATGTATCCCGTAATACCTCGTTTTCCGCACATTATATTTTAATGAAGATTCCTCAGTAAATCTGTACTCACTTCGTTTTGAGGCCAAAGTAGAAATTGAGAATTTATTATCCGTGAAAAAACCGCATAACTGCTCTCTGTTATCTCTCGGAAAATAACGACGACATTCCTGGTAGGATATACTGTATATTGTATTAGAATTAGAGGAACGGTTGATACATGTCTGCACCCTTAATCGTCACAATCTCTCTCTCTCTCTCTCATTTTCTGCGTAGAGTTGAGAGCATGAGAAGGTGGCGAAGCACGAGTTCGAATCGGATCTCCACTACGGTAACCGCCACGTGGTAATGGAAGCCTGCTGGTCTGTGCCGGGCCAGGTGGTAGCTCTCGTGCAGATCCAGTCTCACCAGACCCTTTCTATCTCCCCTCTCGCACCCCATACGTGGCGGCCACGCGACAGCTGTTGATCGTCGTTCCGTAATAATGCGAGACCGTATCGCGCGTTACGACGAACGACGACGGGATCGGTACAGTCTCTCTCTCACGGAGAGACTGCAACATCGTCGACCATCAGCATCGTCTAATGCACTCGGGCGGGGTCAATTCGGCACCGGTTCGACTAACGGCTTAACCCTTCTCTCCCGACCGCTCTCGCCGTTCTCGATCGCCGCTGCGACATTCGAGGTCTCGAGGAGAGGCCTGAAGGAAAGGCCTGGAGAAGCCCCGACGTCGGCGCCATAACCGCGGTTCGCATCATCGTCAGGCCGACACAAAGAGCCCATTCAACGACGTACAACGATCTTGCTCTGGGGACTGCAGGCCGCCTGCTTGCCTGGCCTGTCTGCCTACTGTCGCATCAACGACCTTAGACTGCAGATGCGGCAACGCGATGTGCTCGGCACGAAATGCATTTCCACGGAACTCGTACGTTGCGTCGCTTTTTCTTTCGGGACGTGTCCAAGTTGCGCGTCCGGAAAAGAGCACATTCTCTCGCTTGTTTCAGACATAATGTAATAATATAATTAGCGATTTAATAACGACATTGTTAGCTTTAATAAGCCACCTATCTACGCCTGCAATTTCCTCAAAATTATCGAGTAATAAAATAGAAGCGCAACACAATTGCGACGCGCTCCTCAAATCCCGTTATTTTCGCGTAAACTAAAAGAAAATAACAATTGTAAATTAACGCACGCATGCACACACGCGTGTACATATAGACGCAGAGAAGACGGAAAGGGCTGAACGATTAGAGATTAAAGTCCTTAAGTCTAACTGAACAGGACCTGTGTAAAGTTGGACCCCCAACTTTTTAAAAAATTAACTTTCTATTCTAATTCACTTCGATTGCTCATCGTTCGATTGCTTTTACACTTCTGGTGTAAAAGTTAATGAAAAAAATAATTTTGAGGGAGCTAACCTCATATTAATCCCCAACCTCAACCACGAGCAAACTAGATTTAAAGTTAAAAAACCTTTAGTTAAAAAATTATTAACAATTAAAGTTTCGAGAACGGTCGAATCAGGTAAATAAATTCATTACCGTGACTTTGAGTACAGTAACTGCGATTTAAACTTATCTACCTGAGTCGACTGTCCTCGATACTTTAATTGTTAATAACTTTTTAACTAAAAAGTTATAACAAACTTGTTTCTTTTGAATTCGAGGTAACATATTTCTGATAAAGTTGAACCTTCAACATTTATTTAATAACATTTGTTTAATAATAACTTTTTAACTAAAGGATGTAAACGAAAAATCAACTTGTTTCGGAATGCGCAAACAAAAATTTATCGATTGAGTCTAATTAAATCTAATTTATTCGTGATTAATGGGAGTGTAAAATTAGATTCTCAAAATTATTTTTTAAATAACTTCTTGACCAAAAGTATGCAAACAAAAATTCAAAATGTACATATATGTGCAAACGATAAGTAACAGAAAATTTCGAATCAGCTATAGAAAATTAATTTTTTCAAAAGTTGAGAGCCAACTTCACACGAGTCTGAACAGGACTTCCCGTTTATTGCGATGCAATGCGTTCGCTCGTATTTGTAGAAAGTGAGAGCGAAAAAGGAAGGAGAAATTTACGAATGATAAAAAGGTGCGCCTGCGAGCGAGAAAGTAAGATTTGACTGTGCAAACGTGGACACGTTAGATGTGGTCGGTATTGAGTTTCCGGCAACAGCGCTGGATAGAATCGTGGTTGCGGTTGCGAAAGTTACATCTCGCGTAGAAAACGACATTGCAAATAGATGGAAAAGCGCGTCTCGTAAATGTATCACGTAATGTATCACTATCGCTCGATTTCGCGCGTAATATTGGCAGAATTACCATTCGTAGGCTTTGCTGTAATCGATTAGCTTAGTTTAATTATTTGGTAAACTGCGTCATCAACTCATTCGATATAGTTATATTTAGGATATGAAAATACATTCCTATTTCTCTCTCCCTTTAAACTAACGGTGTACTCGATTCGATTTACAGTGATTTCCCTCAGAGTCGTCGCAGTTTCGTCTAGGTAGACACGATTAGGCACTTTCCGAAGCAACCGTACGTTTCCTGTACCGGAAGAGACCGTGCCAGCTGGTAAGCGAAACAGGTTACGCGATGGTTTTCGTGTTCAACTTCGGGGATCGATAGATTTCCGTTGTTCATATTCCAGAAACATTCGTGAATTTTATTTAGATTCGAAAATCTTCTTTCGTCCAAAGTACCACAGCGCAATAGTCATTACGATTATTATTTTTTTCAATGAATGAACATTTCTGAAAGATCTATTAATTTTTAATATATATAATTAATCAATTTATTATTATTACTTAACTCATTTCTTCCCACCGTCCTATTATTTAGAGAATAGCATCTATTTTAATATATATAATTTTTTAATATATATGGATTATATATGTATACATATGTAGAAAAAAAAAATTAAAAAATGCTATATACATACACATAGAGAAATAAATTTAAAAAATTCTGTAAAATTTTTTATGTTAAATTCAACACATTTCACGTGATCTATCCAAGTTTTTGTGTTAATTTAACACAAGATGCATATGTTAGGAAGTAATAATTATGCAAAAATTAATATAAAAATTAACATTTTAATATAATGTGGAATTAACATATTGAGAAAACAAATTTCTTCAGTAAAATTAACATTTTATAATATGTTCAGTATGTAAATTCAATTTGTTATAAAATTTACGTTTTTAAACTACATTATTTGTTTACTCATAAATTATATAATTAAAAGGAAATAAGTCAAATAAATAGGAAAATGAGAAAAAATACGTTAAGAAAAATACTAAAATATACATTTAATAGGATAAAAAGTGCTTATTAAATTTAATGATGTACTTTGTATATAAAAAAATTTAAATTTTATACTCATTGATCTTACAAAATTAATATAGTGTTTTATGAGTAAATATTATAATATTAAATCGAAGTTAATAATCAGTATCAATATTAGATATTTTTACACATTTCGTGATTTATAAAAATACAACAAAATAATTCGCAATGTATGCAACTGTATCATTACTATCGGAAAGAAAAATGATGGAGAACGGCTGGCGAAATGCGCCTTGCTCGGGCAGGGCAATAAATCTATTTCGCATTCGTCATCTTTAAATAAAATGCATTTCGTGCCAGCGCGTATAGAAAGAAGTTTTGCACATATCCCCAACGCGGTGAGAGAGCAGCTGTTCCCGCACACCTGGCCAAAGATTTTGGAGCCCCTGGGACCTCGGGTCGAGTATTCGGAATTTCTCCAGAACCCACAGATTCTATATGTGCACCGAGTTTTCAACAATGGATCGCGATATTATATTATTACGCGATATTTATATATATTGAATTCATTCGCGTATATATCCATATCTCGGAGTTTCGAATATATTGTACTGAGTTATTAAATACAAGAAGAGAGTTTTCTAATTATACGTTTATAGCGATAATACAACCGTTATTAAGGTTTGCAACGTCATTTTAAAATACATCACTCTTTCTTTGCACTCTTACTAAAGAAAGTCACTTAAGATCACGCGGTTGGATAATTTATGTTAAATTCAATTTCACGCGTCTTAAATGATCTATCCAAGTTTTTGTGTTAATTTAACACAAGACGCATATGTTAGGAAGTAACAGTTATGCAAAAATTAATATAAAAATTAATATTTTAATATAATGTGGAATTAACATATTGCGAAAACAAATTTCTTCAGTAAGATTAACATTTATAATATGCTCAGTTAACATGTAAATTCAATTTGTTATTTATTTATCATAAAATACGTATAATTTACGTTTTAAAACTATATTATTTGTTTACTCATAAATAATGTTATTAAAAGGAAATGTCAAATATTAATTTAAAATAAATTATTCGACAATAAGTCTTTTTACTATTTACGGAGACGTTC